TACTACTAGTACTACTAATGCTACGACTACTACTACTACTACTACTACTACGACTACTACTACGACTACGACTACTACTACTACTACTACTACTACTACTACTACTACTACTACAAACACTACACTCTACTACTACTACGACTATACGACTACTACTACTAACTACTACTACTACTACTACCACGACTAACTACTACTACTACTACTACTACTACTACTACTAATACAATATATAATGATAATAATCAATACTGCGGCTACTACTACTACTACTACTACTACTACTACTACTACCACTGCGACTACACTACTACTACTACTACTACTACTACTACTACTACTACTACTACTACTACTACTACTACTACTACTACTACTACGACTACTACTACTACTACTACTACTACTACTACTACTACTACTACTACTACTACTACTACTACTACTACTACTACTACTACTACTACTACTACTACTACTACTACTACTACTACGACTACTACGACTACTACTACTACTACTACTACTACTACTACTACTACTATGCCGGGCCCGCGGGATTTGGCCCCGCATGATCGCGAGTAGCTGGCGCCGTGGGCCTCAAGAATTTGAAGCGGGTTCACGCCGCGCTGACGCGGACGCTACCTCAACGCGGGCGTTCAAGATTGATCGCAGCCGGTGGCCCAGAATCGGCCGATGCCGAGCGATGTGGGTGCGCAGTCGGGAAGCAGCGACCGCTCCAAGGGGGAGCGACCCGCGCGGCGCCAGAGACCATCGCCGACGCCGTCGCGCCGTGATCTCGCCGCAGACTCCTTTTATTCCCCCATGCTGGTCTTCAATCCTCATTTTTCCTCCTCCCCCTCGTCCCCCTCCTCCTCCTCCGCCTCCTCCTCCGCCTCCTTCTTTCTTTTTTTCTCTCTCTCTTTCTCTCTCTCTCTCTCTCTCTCTCTTTCCTCCTCCTCCTCCTCCTCCTCCTCCTCCTCCTCCTTCCCCTCCTCCTCCTCCTCCTCCTCCTCCTCCTCCTCCTCCTCCTCCTCCGCCGCCCTCTGGTGGGTCCCGTCCGGCTGGGGCCACGCTGGGCCGGTGGTTGCCAGCCTCGTGTGCGGCCAGGGCGCCGCCCTGGCGGCCCCGAGGCGCGCGTACGTGGAGGTCGGGGTGCTGCAGGGCGAGACCGCGCTGGAGGTGTGGCGCACCTGCGCGGCCTCCCGCACGGAGCCCCCCGTGCTGCACCTGGTGGACGAGTGGGCTGGCGAGCTGGTCCGTCGGCGGAGCGGCGGGGGGGCCAGGCCTCTTCACGGCGCGGGGGGAGGCGCGGGCAAGGTTTACGTACACATCCGTTGCGTTTTGGAGCTCGCGAGGCGCAGTGGGCATGGACAAGAATATGGTTTCGAGGCCAGATGTTTCATCGTGTCCACGACGTCTCGGATGCTTGACGTTCCCCCCCATCGATCCAAGGCGTTGTGACTCTGGATGTAAACATTGCCCGCAGGGGTGGGTCCCTGGTGGGTGGGGCACCAAGCACTCCTTGGCTTCGACCTTTCCTGGATAACTTTGAAGACTCTGAAGTACGGAACAGTTCGGGTTTGGAAGGGGGTTCCTTTCCTTCGGGTCCTGCCATGGCTGTTCCTTTCGAGCACCTCGTGCACCCGGGCGCTTTAAGGGCCAAAAGGCGTTACGCGTGCACGCCGCGTCGTAGCTTCGGCGTTCCCTGGCCTGCTTCTGGGCGCTTTCCTCGCCACTGCTGGGCGCGGTCTGGATAGGTGGGCAGGCTGGACCCTTGGGGGGGGGCGTGGTTCCAGCTCTGAGCGGAGGGCGTTGGCCAGGGGCGGGGCGACGGGGAAGCGGCCCTCCAATTAGGCGGGGGTCCAAGTTAGAATCAAGAGGGAAAAAACACAGACACCAATAATTGTCGCTTCTCCAGGATATTGAAAATATAGGGGAAGACGAACATCCGGAATGTATGAAAAACATGAGGAGCCCTAGGATTTGTGTGTATTTATCTGTGTGTCCCTAGGACCCTCCATAGAAACCCAGCTGCTTCCTGCGGAGGATGTCCTCCCGCACGCAACCAGGGCCCTGTGAGAAGCCGTCTGTCGGGCATTGCGTAATGGGAGGCGAGAAATGTCGGCGGCGAGCCTGCGGGGGAAGTCAGAAGGGGAGGCCTTTCACAGAAGGCTCTGAAATCCCGGGCAATCTCGGAAGTTTTCAAGCCTTCCCAGAAGACAGAAAACCCGTCAGGAGGCCAGAGGCCTTCTCTGAAGCCCCGCCGCCTTCTGAGAAGGCCTTCGCTCGCCGGGGGCCCAAAAGAAAGACGAAAGGTGCACGCATCCCCCCCCACACACCCCGTTTTCGCCCCCCCGTGAAGCAACGCCTCATCCTGGCTTCTCAGAAGGGCACCCCCTCCGCCCCACCCCACCCTTCCGCGCGTTGCCCAGGTCGGCAACACCGTCTCCAACATGGAGGCGTTCTCGATCGTGCAGTCGAACTTTCAGGACACGAGGTGCCGAAGAAACGAAAACTACATGAATATAACACTTTTGGAGCTCCGCGCGGATTTTCTGGATCAGCGCCGGAGCCCCCTGGCGGCGCCTCCGGCGCGCTCCGCACGCCAAGGCGAGGCTCCAGCGCCGATGCCAAAAATCCACGCTGACCTCCGAAAGTTCACCAAACAATGTGTGCCCTTGAAGGGGTTGTACCTGCGTCCCAAGGAAGTGAACTCGTTTGTCAGGTCTGCCGCCTCGTTGCCGCCCGTCGTCAGGGCTCGTTTGTCGGGGCTACCGCCTTGTTACCGCCGTCGCCGCCCCGTCGCCGCCTCGTCGCCGCCCGTCGTCTGGGCGCGTTTGTGGGCCCGCCGCCTTGTTGCCGTCGCCGCTTCGTCGCCACAACAAGGATTGCACCACAAAGATCCCCCCATTTCAAAAGTATTACGATCACCTCCCCCCCTGGACTGAACGGTTCCCTTTTTTGTGGTGCAAGTTACACGGTCTTGCCCCATGGCCCATCCGAAGTATGAACTCGTACCATCCCAGGCAGACCTTTATCGGGCCCCCCCCTCATCCTTGGCAACAAGTACTATGCGCGTACAGTCGTTGATCAAAAACCATGAGATTCCAAGAAGGATCTTTTGCAAAACAAAGGGGCAGGGTGCACACGCGCGCGTCGTTTCGCGTGCAATCTGAAACCTTTCAAATTCTTGATGTTTCGTTTGGATTTCGACATCACATTTTTTCCACACAAAATCTTGCAACCGGAATGTTCAAACAAACATGCACTCGCGCTCTTGCGGGTTCTTAAGAAGAGAATCGGTTTTGTAACCGAGAAGTTTTGGTGAATACTAAGTACTCATCGTAATCGCCGCCGCATGGGTTTTGCAAGCTAAGTTGCGGGTGGGTAGGTGACACGATTGCGCGAGCAGTGGAGTTGACAACTCAAAATGTGTCCAAAAGTATGCACCACATATATTGCACCACACATATTGCACAACATACATTACACAGCATAGACTGCACAAATCATATTGATCCACATATACTAATCCACATGGATTGCGCACCACATAAATTCAATTATCCCGGCAAAGCAACCTAACAGCGATGTGTAGGAGCATATCTGGAAGCATTCCCCTTAAGATTCAGATGAGAATCCAGTTGTAGAATTCTGCTGTTCTCGCAGTCGTAGTCGCATTCGCGATGACAGTCGCAGTGGCAACGGCAGTCGCAGTCACAGCCTCAGCCTCAGCCTGCCTCAGCCTCAGCCTGCCTCAGCCTCAGCCTCAGCCTGCCTCAGCCTCAGCCTCAGCCTGCTTCAGCCTCAGCCTCAGTCTGCCTTCAGCCTCGGCCTCAGCCTCAGCCTGCCTCAGCCTCAGCCTGCATCAGCCTCAGCCTCAGCCTCAGCCTGCCTCAGCATCAGCCTGCCTCAGCCTCAGCCTCAGCCTGCCTCAGCCTCAGCCTCAGCCTCAGCTTTCAGCCTCAGCCTCAGTCTGCCTTCAGCCTCGGCCTCAGCCTCAGCCTGCCTCAGCCTCAGCCTGCATCAGCCTCAGCCTCAGCCTCAGCCTGCCTCAGCATCAGCCTGCCTCAGCCTCAGCCTCAGCCTGCCTCAGCCTCAGCCTCAGCCTGCTTCAGCCTCAGCCTCAGTCTGCCTTCAGCCTCGGCCTCAGCCTCAGCCTGCCTCAGCCTCAGCCTGCAGCCTCAGCCTCAGCCTGCCTCAGCATCAGCCTGCCTCAGCCTCAGCCTCAGCCTGCCTCAGCCTCAGCCTCAGCCTGCTTCAGCCTCAGCCTCAGTCTGCCTTCAGCCTCGGCCTCAGCCTGCCTCAGCCTCAGCCTGCCTCAGCCTCAGCCTCAGCCTGCCTCAGCATTCAATCACGTGCTCGACGAGCGTTTGCAGAGGACCTCTCAATGCAGCACGCTGAGGAGCAGCGCTGTTCCCTGCCGCAGGCTGAGGAGCACCGCTGTTCAATGCAGCAGGGTCAGGAGCACCGCCGCCAGACGCTGCGCAGTTCCTTTGAAAGGAAATCTTCGAAAGCATGGCTGTAGCCAAGAAGGCTACGGGGACGATGATGATGATGAAGACGATGAGTCTTGGAAGTCTGGGAAGTGGAAGAGCACGAAGTGGCGTACAGTTGGCTCCGGGCATTCAAAATGTGGCCCGGGAATGGAGTTCTGGGAAATCCAAGAGCACGGATGGCCTACAGTTGGCTCCGGGCATTCAAAATGTGGCCCGGGAGTGGTGTTCTGGGAAGTCCAAGAGCACGAAGTGACCTACAGTTGGCTCCGGGCATCCAAAATGTGGCCCGGGAATGGAGTTCGGGGAAGTCGAAGAGCACGAAGTGGCCTACAGTTGGTTCCGGGCATTCAAAATGTGGCCCGGGAATGGAGTTCTGGGAAGTCGAAGAGCACGAAGTGGCTCACAGTTGGTTTCGGGCGTTCAAAATGTGGCCCGGGAATGGAGTTCTGGGAAGTCGAAGAGCACGAAGTGGCTCACAGTTGGTTCCGGGCATTCAAAATGTGGCCCGGGAATGGAGTTCTGGGAGGTCGAAGAGCACGAAGTGTGTAACTGTTTGCCCTCGCTGTCCGGATGCCGCCCAGACCTCCCTTCTGAGTCATCAGATGCTCTCTTTTGACACCATTAGAAACCTATCAGTTTTCGCTGTTAGGTAAAAAGCTTGCGCTCGCGCTCTTGCAAAATCTTCAGGCAACCATAGGTGTTTCAACATGTGCACTCAATTCGACAGAACGCGCCCCCCGCGCCGCATGTCGGAGTCATTCGAAGGCCTTTGCGCGCGCGCTGCGGGGGCACGATCCGCGCCAAATAAAACTACACAGGTCACGCTTGCGCGCCGGCCGCGCGCGCATGTCGAACTCCTTCCGACGCATGCATCACTGACGCGAGGACGTCGGCATGATCAGCATCGGCTGCGTCACTGGCCCTGCCGTCGCCGACGATGCCATTATACCGCGCCCGCCCAAGTCGCCGACTCGCACCGAAGTGCTCACAGGAATCATCTGCCCAGCGGTCAGCGCCACCGCGGCCGCGTCGGTCGCGCCAAGCTAGTTGGTAGCTGCGCGCGCGAGCATGCGCGGGCTAGCGCTGCCGCAAAGATGCACCAGCCAACACCAAGCACTCATCGCAATCGCAGCCGCATGGGTTATGCAAACCAAGTTGCGGGCGGGCGACCGGGATGATTGCGCGAGCAGTGGAGTTCACAACTCATTGCGAACAGAAGCTAATTGCACCACATGTGGTTTTCCTCCGTCAAGAATAAAAGGATCCACCCACCCAGCCTCCGCCCAGACTTAACGGCACCTCCTCGCGAACTGCACTTTTTCGAAATATGAATTCATTTCATCCCAGCGAAATCGCCCCCCCCTCACACTTGCAAAAAACCAATGCGCGCACGCACGTCGATCAGAAATCATCAGTTGTCAAGAACACCTTGCAACAAAGGGGGACGACATGAACGCGCGCGCGAGTCGTTGCGCACCCATGTCGCGATGTTAAAGAAGTTCCGGATGGATTTCAAAATCGGGCGCCCCTTAAAGAGCATCTGGTTTTGCAGCAATAATGCTCAAACAAAAAAAAAAAAAAAAAAAAAAAACGCGGTCGAACTCTTGCGAATGTGTGGGTAAACCTTAGGCTTTCAACATGTTTATACAATGCTACCAACCGTGACTCTCGCGCGCGCATGTCGAAATCGCTCGAACGCCCTAGCGCGCATGCTGTCGCTAGAAGCCCTTGCAGAAGAACGGTGCGATGTGCACTCAGGCGCGCGCAAGTGCGCACGCATGCCGACACCGATCAAAACTTGAGATTTCGTAAGGATGCAAAAGTCAAAAGCCCCCGCCCGAAATAATTGCGTTGCAACACAACACCATCTTGCAAAAATGCATGCGCTCGCGTTCCTGCTAATATCAAAACCATGGGCTTTTCAACATGCTCATCACATTCGACCAAACGGGCCCAAATCGTATAAACGCCTTCGCACGCGCGCTGGGAGGGCACGATCCGCGTCAAGGAATACCATGCGGGCCACTCGCGCGTCGGTCGCGCGCGCATGTCGAACTCCTTCGAATATTTGACTCACAGACGCGAGGACGCCGTCATCGTCGTCGGCGTGACCAGCGTCGGCGCCGTCACTGGTCGCGCATCGCCACTACCATCATCGCGTCCACCGCTGTCAACGCTGCCACAATACCGCGCCCGCCCAACTCGCCGACTCGCACTGCAGCGCCCGCTGGGATGTACCCGTCGGTCAGCGCCACCGCGGCCGAGCCGGCCGCGCCGAGCTAGCTGGCCGCTGCGAGCGCGAGCGCGCACGGGCTAGCGCGGCCACGGCGACGCGCCGGCCAGCGCCGCGCACTCATCGCAATCGCCGCCGCATTTGGCCACGCAGACCAGGTTGCGAGCGGGCAACCTCAAATTCTGCAGTGCGAATTGCGCCGCATAGATTCTCCTTTCTGAAAGACTAATAGATTCTACCCCCCCCCGGACTTATCGGTTACCCCGCGCGTGCTGTAAATGACATATGATTCTGACCACATGTCCATCCTAAAGATGAATTCATACTATCCCAGCCAAGCCGGTATCCCCCCCCTTGCGGTTCCCTTGCAAAAAAATCACTATGCGGTGACATCCTTTGTTCTAGCATAACATTTTTTCGCGAATCCCTTGCAAAAAATAGGACGAAGTGCACACGCGCGCGTCGTCGCGCGCGCATGCCGAAATCCTTCAAAAACCTTTGGTGCCGGAAAGATTTCGCAATCGAGTTTCCGAAAAACATACAAAAACACATGGTTTCGCAACACTGATTTGCTAAAAAAACTTCCGCGTGAGGTCTTGCGAAATCTTAAGAAAACCATAGGTTTTCCAAGATTTCCACAAAATGCTACCAAACGGGCTTCGCGCGCGCGCATGTCGAAATCTGTCGCACGGCCCTTGCGCGTGTGCCGTCGCGAGAACCTCTGAAAAAATGGGACGAAGTGCAGACGCGGCGCGTCGTCGGCGG